GCGTTATGAGACCTGTCCGCGAGGGGCCAGGGAAGTGCTCGAAAACGATGCTGTCCCAGAACGTGCCCACGCCCAGGCCTCAGTGACCGGAGCCGCTGGTCCCTGCCCGCCTTCCCACTTGGACACAGGGACACGGAGGGGGCGGTGCCGCTCCTGACCTTACCTAGGAAAGGGCCGGGAAGCAGCCGCAGCCCCTGCACCCCGGGCCGGGCTCACCAGCACGCACGCCCATCCCACACGCACGCAGCGCCTGGCTGAGGGGCTGGGCGCCGTGCAGAGGCCACGCTGGGCTTTCAGCCCGATGGGAACCACCGACGTCCTGGCGAGGGGCCCCGGGGGGAGACCTCCTGGGACCGGGCTCTGGCGGTTTCTCCCACGTGTAGCTAACCAGCAACCTGCCGTTTCAGCCGCTCGGAAGCGGGCCAGAGGCAGAGAGGGAGGCCCAGCCTGACTCGAGCCCAGGCAGTGTGGGCGTTGCGGACAGCGAGACAGTAAGGTCTTCTCGTCTTCAGCCCCCCAGCGAGGGACACGACGACTCGGCTTTAACTTGTAGGCTGCGGTCTGTGGTGGCATCGGGGTAAGTGGCCCTTCCCCTCCCTTCCGAGTACCACCCCAGGGCCCACACTGGGCTGCGAGGTCGCCATGGTCCTGTCTGGCCCAGCATCTGGCAGTCCCCACCCCCTGGGAGCCCAGGCAAGGACCCCCACCCAGAGCAGCCCCTTCCACGCGTGGCCCCTACGGAGGCTCCTGTGTCTCAGGGCTCGGAACACACAGCCTTGTGGGAGGATCACGGGGCGGGTGGCCACAGAGATGTGACAGAGCGACGTAGGCTAGGGAGCCAGGGGGGAGGGGAGAGGGAGAAGGGCAGGAGGGAGGGGCAGGCGGCAGCGGGGCCGCGCCACCTCTCCCACAGACAGCCCAGTGCCTGTCACAGCCCTGCCTCCACAGCGGGGCCTGCCAGACACCATGGGTGACAGGACTCCCGCTCCGCGGCTGCGAGGGCCCGCCCACTCCTGCACACGCCCCCCAGGGGGCTGCATCGCGCCCCCTGGGAAGTCGGACGCCTGAAGCCCACCCCACCCTCTCGCCGGAGGGAGCCCTCTCCGCCTCCCCCCCAAAATCCCAGCTGACAGGCGGCGCTCTGGGCTGCCCCACGCCACCTTCACCTCCCCGTCCCCGCACC